CGCGGGGTGCCCACGCGGGGCGCCGCGAGTGAGGCCGGACGTGGGGGTCCCGACTGGGTCCGCGCGGGGATCTGGCCGATGAGGTGCCCTGTGGGCAGTTTTGTCCGCTAGTAGTGGACGCACCGGTGGTCTTCTCTGAGCGCTGCATCGGAGCCTTTGATAAGGGGCCTTGAGGGGCAGGCAGGTGCGTTACCTGCGTCCGAGGCCTGACCCAGTGCAAGGTGCGCCTCAGCATTCTGCCACTCAGCTTGCATTAGCGTCAGCACTGAGTGCGATGCTGGTAGTTTCATTGGTTGTTACTAAATTCCATTCAGTGTCCCCCGGCCTGTCACAGTTTCTAACAGTGTCAGTAGTCTGGAAATTCACATATCCAGTCAGCCAAGCTGAACACAAAACCCCAGGGCGCGGAAGCTGTAAATGGACCCTGTAATTTAAGCCTTGATGTATAGAATGGGTGGGTGGCCGGATTTTACCTTTACAAGGTATTTGGAAATCTCTAAATTAAAACGTGTTGTGTCCATATGGATAAAAGGGGTGATACTGACCAAGAGTCAGGTCATGTCTGGGTAAAATAAGCGATAAAATCCACAAAGGAAATCAGGTGTGGGGGGAGGGCGGAAGATGCCACTTAGGAGCACAGGGACTTGAGAGGCCCCATGGAACCCTCCCGTGGAGGCAGATGAGGGCTGGGGTGGGAGAGCATGGGGCCCGAAGGAGTCCTGCTTTACTCCTCGTGAATCCATCTTTTTCTCATTTACTACAGGTGAACACTGAGGTCCGGGTGCGCCGGAACACAGCTTCTTGGTGCCAGCACCCTGCCCGGGCAGAATACGGCCAGTCCTCACAGGATGACGGCGCTCGCTCTGTCTCCCTCCTGTGGTGAGTTGCTGGCTGGGGGCGCTGCTGAAAGGAGACCCTGCTCAGCCTGGAGGGCTACTGAGGGGTGAAGTAAAGCAGGTACTGGACAGGCGCTCTGCAGCCCCGCTGACTGTTTCCTGCTCTAGGGCCTTTCTGAGCTTGAGTTAGGCAGGAGGATGTCCCTGATGTGCAGGAACAGGTCGTAGTGGGTAGTTTGCACTATTTATGGTTTTGTAATCCTGCGCCATCTAACAGCTCTACTCCTAGAGCACTTAGAGTACCTGTCACTTTGTTTGTGGGGGTACGCACCCATCACCCGTCTTCTGCCCGGGTATCGGGGCTGCACTGACTTGTCACGGAACTGTCTGGGGTGTGACTGGGGTGTGCACTTTGTACATATACTGTGGGCAGTTGGCTGACTGGCACTACTAAGGAGGCTCTAACGCTCACGGACCCCCTAGCTCTGTCCACTCAGGAGCCTGCCTGTATCCAGGAGTCGGAGATTTCGCTTTCTTCCGAAGACCATCCCTGTCCCCAGGATTTGGCCCTGTTTGCTTGCAGTGACCTGGAGACCCACCTGCTAACCAGCATTGGCTCCCAGGTACGCCAGACTCTTGGGCCTCACGGAGGAAGAGGCACTCTCCATGGATGCTCCCATCATCACATTAGAATGTTTTAGTACATCAGACTGATCTGTGTGTCATCAGGAAGCCTGAGAAAGAACCAAAGTACGTTTGGTTCCCCTGGTGTTGGAGATGCTGGGGCTGGGGGGATGGTGTAGATGCCAGGTGTTTTCTCACAATTGGGCAGTCAGTCAGAGTAGGCTAGAAGTGGAGAGGGATTTGGTTCTGTTTCATCAGAGTTGCACTGAGTGGTGATACGTGAGGTTGAGGTTACAGGGAAGAGCCCTGGGCATTGCCGGCTAACAGATATTCAGAACCCACAGCCTCTGTGAAAATCCTATATTTGGAGCTTCTTGTGCTTCATCTAATTTAGCCCCGGCTGTCTGGGAGCACATTGACTGGTTTGTCCCTGACCCAGAGTGTGTGGTGTTTCAGGAATTGGTGACTTTCCAGGATGTTGCTGTGGACTTCACCGAGAAGGAGTGGCCCTTGCTGGATTCCTCTCAGAGAAAACTGTACAAAGATGTGATGTTGGAGAACTACAACAACCTCGCCTCCGTGGGTAAGGCTGCCCCATTCGCTTCTGCGTTTGTGAATCAGACATCGTTTCAAGTGCTGGCTGTGACCCAGGACTGGGGGAGTGCTTGGGACATAATCAAGCATAAGCTGAACCTGGTTCCCAACCTTAGGTCCCCTCCCTAGGAATCAAGGAACCTGGCCGTTGTTTTGACCTGGGTGGTTGTCAGGCGTGCCTGGGCAGAGGTGTAGGTTCGAGAAATTCTCGTTCCCTGAAGGACACATGCTTGTGGACTTGTGCTGTATGAGAGCCTTTCACTGTGTGCCTAGAATCTGGCACTATCCTTTCGCTGCTCTTAAGTCAGACCTGACTGTCTTCAGAGTGCTGAAGGCCTCATCAGGACCCCAGATTGTGGCAGACTATGTCATGTGCACTGGCCTCCCTCACGCGTGTTTTCCTTTGTGAGTAGGGTACCAAGTCGGCAAACCCAGCCTCATCTCACACTTGGAGCAAGAGGAGGAGTTGCGGACAGAGGAGAGGGAAATTCAGCCTGGCGCTTGTCCCGGTAAGCACCAGGAAGTGGAAGGGCCTCAGAACTGGCTCTGTTCAGATGGGGTAGGTGGAGTAGGCCACCGGCAAATGTCACGCTGGGGCTTGGAAATGCTCTGTCTCTCATCTCAGTGGCCCTGTGCTCTCTCACACGCCTTTGGCGTCAGTGCCCTTCGTCTTTAATTTTGACATGTCACGTGGGCTCTTTATCCTCTTTTTCTCCTTAACATTTCCTGTCGTCATCAGGGTCAGTATTTGCAGGTTTCCTTCTTAGTGAATCGACTGGCCTCTGGCTTTGCCACATGTCACACAGCAAAATCTTCACAGATGATCTTACTCGTTTGTGTGTCCTTCCCTTTCTACCACCTTTCCTCCCAAAGGGTTAGTGCTTCAAAGGGAATCACTTGTTTTTGTCACCATTGTTACATCATTTTGCTTCTCCAGCAAGCTGTATTTTCTCGCTTTCTTTCAGATTGGGATACTCCCTCTCAAATCAAATGGTCAGTCCTTATGGAAGATATTTTTGGGAAGGAAGCATCCAGTGGTGTGACAATGGTAAGAGTCCCTTGGATAATTGCAGAACTTCTTATTGGAAGAAGATTGGAGCAGCCTAGTTAGAAAAGCAGCTGAAGAGCGAGGCTAGTGGCAAGCTCCAAAAGGAAACAGTTTATGACATACGACCTTCACTCACGGTCCCATGAGTAAATATTTTTGTAACCATGTAGAGAGAGTGACTCTGGGGCTCAGTACAGTGTTTAAATGTTTAAAATGTGACAGATTTATATCCAAAAAGTTTTGTACAAGTAATCCACAAGAACCTTGGGGCATAGTGTTTTCTTGCTCTATTTGATGGAGTCAAGTGGGGCTAGAGCAGTATTTTTGCAGTGGAAATTATGAAACCCTTATTCATAATGATGTGTCCTATTTCCGTAGTATGTGTGGGGGTACTGCTTAGGGATTTAATGAAAGTGGGAATTGCTTTATCAGCACTGTATCTTAATCCACAGGAAAGAACTAGTCTTGGAGAGAAATCCACTGAATATGCTCATCTGTTAAAAACCTTCAGTACAGGTACTCATCTTGCTCAGCCACTGGGAAAGCATGCCTGCAAGAGAACTTATCACCGCCGGGATTATGGGGTTGCTTTTAAGAACAGGTCCCATCTAACGCAACATGTGAGCATTTACAATGGGAGAAAGATGCATGAATGTCATCAGTGCCAAAAAGCCTTCACCACAAGTGCTTCCCTTACACGGCACAGGAGGATACACACAGGGGAGAAGCCTTATGAGTGCAGTGACTGTGGGAAAGCATTCAATGATCCCTCCGCCCTTAGGAGTCATGCAAGAACTCACCTCACAGAGAAGCCCTTTGATTGCAGTCAGTGTGGAAACGCATTTCGAACCCTTTCCTCCCTGAAAATACACATGAGAGTTCACACTGGTGAGAGACCTTACAAGTGTGATCAGTGTGGGAAGGCATATGGTAGGAGCTGCCACCTCATTGCGCACAGAAGAACACACACTGGTGAGAGACCCTATGAATGTCATGACTGTGGAAAAGCTTTCCAGCATCCCTCACATCTCAAAGAGCATGTCAGGAATCACACTGGAGAGAAGCCCTATGAATGCACTCAGTGTGGAAAAGCCTTCCGATGGAAATCTAACTTTAATTTGCACAAGAAGAATCACATGGTAGAGAAAACATATGAATGTAAAGAATGTGGGAAGTCCTTTGGGGATCTTTTGTCACGGAGAAAACACATGCGAGTTCATATTGTGAAGAAGCCCGTTGAATGTAGACAGTGTGGGAAAGCCTTCAGAAATCAGTCCATCCTTAAGACACACATGAATTCTCACACAGGGGAGAAACCTTATGGGTGTGATTTATGTGGGAAAGCCTTCAGTGCAAGCTCCAACCTGACAGCACATAGGAAAATACACACTCAAGAGAGACGCTATGAATGTGCTGCCTGTGGGAAAGTTTTTAGCGATTATTTATCTCGGAGGAGGCATATGAGTGTACATCTGGTAAAGAAACGTGTTGAATGTAGACAGTGTGGGAAGGCCTTCAGGAATCAGTCAACCCTTAAGACACACATGAGAAGTCATACGGGAGAGAAGCCGTACGAGTGTGATCACTGTGGGAAAGCCTTCAGCATAGGCTCAAACCTGAATGTGCACAGGCGGATACACACGGGAGAGAAGCCCTATGAATGCCTGGCCTGTGGGAAAGCCTTCAGTGATCATTCTTCCCTCAGGAGTCATGTGAAAACTCACCGAGGAGAAAAGCTCTATGTTTCATCAGTATGGAAAAGGCTCCACTGACAAATTGTAAGAGAAATAGGTAAGCTCAGATTGGAAGGAAACCATAGAGGGCAGGAAGTCTTTGTTAACTTGTGGGACGCAAAAGCGTACATGTCACTTTGGAAAGTATGTTTGATAAGTAGGCAAAGACTAGAGCTTTTTCTTGCTACTGTAGAGACGTGAGAACTCCCACTGGGGAAGAAAGACTGTGTCTGTAGCATGGAGAAGCCAGCATTCTGCATTCTCTGACCTTAACAACATGAGAGGTTTTGGGGAAAAACTCCTAGCTTAATATTTAATGTTGAAATGATGCTAATTCCACCTGTACCTTCCGGGCACATGAACCAGCACGCTAGGGAGAAGAATTGTACATTCACAATTGGAGCAAACTTTTCCTGTCTCATAATCCTGAAGAAGTCAAACTAAAGAGAAAGTCTATAAATTGGCATGTGGGAAAGTGTCCAAAAGGGTCAGCACACTAGGGCCAGCTATTTGTTTTTGTGTATGACTTGTCAAATAAGAGTCGTTTTGAATACTTTTGAAGAAGAAAAACGTAATGGGACCACTTGTTTCCTAAAATACTCACTGTGCAGTCCTTTACAGAAAGCTCTGCCCAACTGTGGACTACCTATTTGGTGGTTCCAAATGGGTGATTTTGTTCCTCAGGGGACATTTGTCAATGTCTGGAGATGTTTAGTTTTAGGAATGGGGTACGGGGTGCTACCAGAAGACATGAGGCTTGCTGCTAAGTAACCTGCGTTATGCAGGGCCCCCACTGCAGCCAGAGATTATGTGCCCCTAAATGCCAGTGTAGGTGAGGTGAGGAACACAGACCCACCATAGTCTCTCAACTTACGCTACAATTGGCTACTTGAAACTTTAAATACATTCAACACAATTCTTCTAGTAAACAACATGAAAACTCAAACAACAGACAATTCTACGTAGAGATGATTTCAGCCACATCCCCCTCGCTTGCACTTTTGAGAATTCACTTTCCAATGGAATTTTCTAGTGAATATGGAATTGCATCTGTTAGTCTTCATCATGAAAGTGGATCCCAGCTTGTTAACTTTTAGCCTTTATTTTTAAGGTTATACTCCTCTGATCCTTATGTCTCATCACAAAAGGTTTGTATGTAGTATTTCTTACTATAATTTTATTTTTACATGTGCTAATTTCCTTTGTTGTAACCTGCTTGACCAGTGGACTATTTACAATCATGTATTGTGTAGCTTAGTTGTTTTAAATACCTGTTTGTAACAAGTAACCAGTTCAAGTGCATTGTGATCACAGAGCATGTGTCTTCATCAGATGGATCGCTTAGAATGTTGTCAGCCTCCTGTCTGTCAGACTGGCAGATACTTCTAGATGCTTCCCTAACATCATCATCTGTGTGAAGAAAATCTGAAGATTTGTCAGATTAGAAAGGTGCGCCAATTAAAAAAAAAAAAATTAGAGAGGTTGTCTTACCACTAGTATAACCTGTGTCACACAGCCATTGAAAAGTAAGCAGATGTCACTGTGTGGGCTGTGACAAAGCTCTTGAAAAGAAAAAAGTGTTTTTCTTCCTTAGATTCTTACATACATACATACATATATATATGTGTGTATATATATATATAAAAAACCCACATATATATATATATAAAACACACACACACACATATATATATAATCCTCATATATATGGATATATATGTATGTATGTATGTATGTATGGTTTGCTTTTTCTTGCTCACTCCCCTCTCATCTTGGAAGGAGATCCAGTACCTACTGTGGAGTGGCCCATCCTGTGGCCATGAGCCATGAGGCGGCACGCCACTGCGCAAGGAGAATGCTGCTGAAGCCACGACTGTCCTGCTTCCCTGTTGCTTTGAGTGTCTGCACCAGCCCTGGATTGTTATTTCCAGATTTCAGATTAATGAGCAAAAATAAAACCAAGTACTGGTTTAAGCTGCTGTGGAAATCTCATTGTTTCTGCGTCACAGTGTGTTTATCGGTGGGGAGCAGTACGCACTGCAGAATGCTATTGTAACCCACAGCCTCAGTGAGTGGGTTTTATGGTGCTGCATTTGTGAGTATAATCTGCTTGCATTTTTACTTGTTGGGTATGAGTTTTAAAATTCTTTAAAGCAGGTTTTTAAGTTATTTTCAAACCTGTGATGTACTTAAATATTCTCACCTGTTTGTTGATAGAAGTGTACTATCACAAAAAAGCTCTCAGTAAGTGGGCGCTGTCAGCATCTTTTGCATATGGGGGACTAGACAAGGGGATGGGCTCCTCGCCCGAGATCATCCTGGTAGCCAGTGGTCGTGCTTTATTTGAGCCCGGTACATCTGCCTCTGGATGGAATTCGTCATCCATAGGTAAGTATGGGGATGGTGAGCAGGAATGTGGGGCTCCCTGGGCCTTGTGGGGAGCAGGGAAGCCTGCTGCAGGGGACAGTTGAGTAGACTGAGCTGTAGGTATGCCAGCAATATTATAGGGAGCTCTGCACGGCCAGCAGAGACGCCAAAGCTGTTTCTACACTGGCTATGTAATAATCTCATTATATACTTTAACACTGAAAACATCTCCGTATGCATGTGCAGTCAGGCCAGGGCGTCACTGCTACCCTGACGGGCCTGGCTTCTGTGGAGGATCCCTGCTTCCTGCAAGAAACCTGGGGCCGGCTTAAGCTGTTTAAGGGGAGCTTTGGTGTCTTTCTGGATTGGCCCAGTTTTTCTGAAATTGGTCTGTACTGTATTATGATAGCTCTGCCATTGTGTTTCACTATTGAATGTTTTAACTGTCTAGTGTTGGTAGCTATCTTATAATTTGGTGCTATTGTGAAAATGCTGCTACACACCGATTTTGGTATTTCTGCTAGTGCACAAATGTGCATGTGTTCTGGATACCTGAGACCGACCGACTGGGCCGTGGGGATTCACGTTGGCTTTTCACAGATGATGCCCATGTTCCAGAGCGGTGGTACCAGTTTGTTCTGCAGCAAGCTGTTTTGTGTAATTAGATGAGATGATCTAACTCCTGCCTTTTTTCGTTGATTATATTCAAGATGTAAGCCTTAGGAATTATGTTGTGCAGATATTTTCCCTACTCTGTGACTTACTCTTTTTATGTTTTAAATGATGTTTTTGATTAAATGAGTTATTAATGTTGTCTAGTCTTGTGGATAACACGCCTCTTCCTATGTAAGAAACACTTGCCTATCCTGAAAGCAAGACAATATTTTACATCTTCTGTAAGTTTTATTTTAAAGTGCACATTTTTCTAAAACTCATAGAATGGATTTTGGTATTGTGTGATGTCGTTGCTCTAATTCTGGACTTTATTCTGGTCAGTGTTTTTGTACCAGGCCACAGTGTTTAAGTTACAGTGGACTCGGTGATATGTTTTAATAACTGGAATGTTTAGTTCTTCCCGACGGGTTTTCGATATGAGTGTTTTCCTAAGTTTTTTTTTTTTTTTAAATGGAGTTTCCTATTGTCCAACTCCATAAAACTAACCTGGTATTTTTATTGGAATCACCTTGAATTTTAAGTCAACTTGGAAGAACTAACATCTCTGTGATGTTAAGTCATTATCCAAGAACGGGTTGTCTTCCTGGAATTTAAGTCCACTTCGTATTTGTCAGGAGTGTTAAAACAATCTCCTATACAAGTTTTGTCCGTTTCTTGTTAAATTTTCCCTAGGTTTTTAGTCTTATAGATGAGATGGTTTCTACCATTTTACTTACTGTTCAATGTTTCTGTATCATAAAGTCACCAATTTTGTGTTTTAACTTTATTACTTGCTCTTTAATGGAAATTTTAGTTTCGTTACTGCTTTTCTTGGATCTGCCCAGTATACTGCATATTATCCACAAAGTGGCATAGCTCTGCTTGTTTACCAATTCTCACGGCTCTGTGTGCCTGTCAAGTTGCATTATCTGATGCCTGAGTGCCACGGAAAGGGTGTCTTGTAGGAGAAATGCCCCCCAGGGGCTCCATTAGCTAAGACAGTGTCTTTTAGGACTGAGGTATGTATTTATTTTACCATATCAAAAATGGAATATACTGAATATTTTTTTATGAATGGGTGTTGACTTTTTGTTTTTTCGGAGCGTCTGTGAGGAGCATCATGATTCTTTCCCTCTGATTTATTAATCTGTGATATTAATAAATTTCTCAATATTCAAACAATCCTGTGTTCCTGGAGTGAATCTCTATTTTTTTAAAATGTATTTTTAAAAGGTTTATTTATGCATACACAACTGGGGCACAGGCCAGCGTGCAGGGGGTGAGAGGCTTCACCAGAGACAGAACAGGCAGATCCATGAAGTACACTGCTGAGGGGAGCAGCGGGGAGACAGGAGAGGTCTGCTGCAAGGCAGAGGATGGAACCTGCACTGAAGCAGCTGCAGCCAGCATGCAGTCCTGTGCTTGGCCCCTGAATATTTTTTTAATGTGGTCTTAAATTCTTTTTTCTAGAATTTCATTTGGATTTAGGAACTTCGGTTCTGCTACAGTTTTCTTAGTACTCTCAGGGTATTACCCTGTTTCATGGGAAATTAGAATTTTCCCTTCCATGCCAAATGATGGAACAATATATACACCACTTGAAGTATGTGATTTCTTGTGTGAGTGGAATCAACAGTGTTGGTGACCCGCATTTCCCTAAGAAATTACGCCATTTATTTCATACAGAGTTCGGCAAAGGTATCCAGGATTTTTACACTGTCATTACTGCACCTGCCCGTCAGTAGCTGTCTCCTGTTGCTCTTGGCCAAATTAGCTTGTGAGATTGTGTGTTGAATTTTCCCCACTTGTAGCTATTGTTTTTGCCAATAATTGTTATTTTTAACTCAACCCCTTATGCTTGTTTTTGGCTTATTTTTCTTTTTCTAGAATTTTGAAAATGGTTTTCCTGAATCATTTAGTGGACACATTTCACGTTGCGGCTTTCCTCTGATCACCGCGTCTGTGCATCCATAGATTCTAGAATGTAGTCTTAACATTTCTTCTTAAAATTTGTGATTTCCATTTGTATTTTTTCATGAGTTAGTATGAGGTTTTGAACTTTCTAGATGCTTGATTTTTTTGTTTTTGTTAAATTCTAGGTTTATTGTATACTCATGTTTATGAAATTTTCATATAACATGCTTGAATTATTTTGTGTTCTTCCTTGTTGATGACTTTTAACTTCCTGAATCTGTAGCTTCATGTCTGTCATTTTGGGAACATTCGCACCCAGGGTTACTTCAGGTATTCCCTTCTTTCGTCTCCTCCTCCTGGATTTTCCTTCTACTAGATTTTCTCTTCATTTCACTTTTGGAAGATTTTATCGGTATTATCTTCAGCTTAACTGATTCATCCATTGGCTTTGTCGGGTGTGAGTCTGTGGAAGGCACTCTTTCTTGCTGCTCTTAGAGGTTTGATTTCTAGCCGTTCCTTTGGATTCCTTCCCAGCATCCCCACTTCTCAGCTTAACACTGGCCATTTGCTGCCCCACTATAGCCTTAGCTTACTAGCCAATGTTTAACTTAAATTACTACTATTGTCATTCTGAAGTGATTGGTAGAGTTGAGCTTGTTCTGAATGCTTGCTTTATCTTTTAACGCGCCTCACAATTCTTTTTGTGGAAAGCTAGCCGTGTTTGCTAAAGGAACAGTAGTACACAGTGAGGCCCTCAGCATGTTTGCGACTTTTTTGGCTCTGAGTTAGCCAGACAGGCTGATGATTATTATAGCTATTGTGTCAGAAGCCTAAAGATTTTTCTCTAATATACTTTTTTTTTTTTTCTGTTTTCTTTAGGTTCTTTTCAAGATCCTTTGACTAGGGGCAAAGACTAGAAATCATGCCAGTTTTGTCCCATATTAGAGAAACCCAAGAAAATCTCTTCAGATGAAGCTACATAGAAGCTCCTTTATATTTATCTTTAGACCACTCTTACTTTCTTGAACTCAAAATAAAAGTAGATGTTTAAAAAACCTACACAATTACTCCTCGGAAAAATAAATAGATAATTCTTACTAATGACAGATTCAAAACTCAGGCTTTGGATGATTGTTTCGACAGATTTGTGATAATTAAAAAAAAAAAAAGGTTCTTTATCCAAGAAAATGGCATCTCTGACCAGCTGCTCTGGTCAGCTACTGTCCCAGACCCCCGAGGTGGTCATTCACTTGCAGAAAGCGCAGGAATGCCTTTACGGAGACCTTGTGGCGTGCTGGCTCTGCCCACACGTCCCCTGACTGCAGGGCTGGCCTCACGTCTCCATCCCCTGATAGGTCACTGGGACGCCAGGGCACCTGGTGGGAGGTGCACAGTCAGCACCTCTGTCTTCCTCGACCTCACCGGAAGTCCTGCTGCTTTCCTCTGCTGGCTGGCCTCTCGGTGACACAGAATAAAGGAAGGTATTGCATGTGCTCCGTCAGAAGTTTCCCGAAGCTAATTAGTGAAGCAATAGCAATCCTTGGCCTAGTTTTGGAGCAGTGCCCTGGAGGCCAGGCCTAAGGGGAGGATGCCCGAGCAGAGCTGAGGAGAGCGAGGCTTCCTTAATTAGGACCCCTGGGAGCCCCGCACAGTTTCCCTGCCCATCACAACAATTACCGCCGCGTCAGCCAAACCCCAGGCCAAGTGTCCCAGAGCTCTCGCATGTCACTGCCCTTCCTGGCAGTGACACGTGTCCTCAGGACACGTCAGGGAGGGTCCCTGGGGGAGAGTCCCTGGGGCAATCCAATTGGCTTGTCACAGCTCCCCTCCTAACTGAACTGGCTCTAGCTTATGCAATG